TGAAGAAAAAGAATCTCACTTTCTGTGGCAACTCCTGTCCTTCAGGCATAAATTATGGAGTCATTTTGAGGTTTTCCAAGTAACCAGAGCATGTTCTGGGAATTCCTGGGAGTTGCAGGCTAAGATCAGGTAAATGGAACATAATTGGTCTTGCCAATCTAGAAAAACAGATGCTTTAGTTTACATATAACTTCAGGAATTGGATGACTGAAAGGAAAGTACTAGAGAACTACAAAACCTCAGTGGATCAATAGATTATGTTGGCGACCTCCTCGTCATACTGCAACAAATGCAGAAAGCTTCCTGTGGTTACAAGCAACCTCATGTTATCTTACTTAGAAGCCCATTTTCCTTTTTTAATCCTTGCTCTTGTCTGTGGCAGACAGAGAAAGCTGAGCTAATTTGCTTCCAGCTTTCCAGTTAGGTGTCTGTTGAAGCCTGTGTTTGTGTTCTAGCCTGAGCAACTGTTTGATAATTTGTTGGTGAACAACTGTTTGTTAATACTTAACATCAAGAACTATTAGCTACACAAACATTTGTTAACCTTCAAAATACCCCTCCATATATAAACCCTCTCCACATTACTCATGTGGAAAAGGTTGAGTATCAAATGTAGTTTGCTTTTGTTTGGATTTCTTTTTTAAAGGGACCATCACATCATGGATTTATATCACTTTCACTGCAACTGTGGTGTGACGTTTCCCAGCTTCTAGTCCTCTGGTTACAGCTGCTGCAGCCTTGCCTTTAATTTGCATGGGGGGAAGGGAGGCTTCACTGGAGTTGCGTCAAGGCTTCACAAACTGTTGACAGAAGGCAGACATGAAATGCCTCATTGAACCAACTCCAGGCCCAATAAATGCAAACAATTCAAAGCTGAAACTATCTGGCAGCTGCAGCTGATTTCAGAAATTTTTTGTTGTGCCAGGAAAATCTTTTCCTTCAATGAGGTTGTCGCTGGAATACATTAGGAGACACAAAATACAGAACAATATGCTTGCTAAAGAGATTATTTTCTTCTCTGTAGTATCACTTAAGATGGGTTGGAAAATTTCTGTTATTTAGGAAGGCTGAGAAAAGACTGAGATGTTAGTTTTGGTTTACCAGACAGTCATTATGTGAAGGTGTTTGTCTGAACAGGGAGATGTCTACAGCTGCAAGTAAACATGAAATCACATGGAGGAATATTAAAACATAAAGGGGAGAACATGGCTGTGGTGTGCTCAGAAAGTATGAACACCTATTAATCTCACTGGGATTAGGGAACAGCCACAACTACCTGGACTAGGGCACAAGAGGGAGATCTAGTCAATCCTATGTGTTTTGCTGAGTTGTGGCATGAGATACGACTTGGTTTTGCTGTGCTTCTGTCTGAGGGGCTGCAGACCATGAGCAGACCCAGAGCAGCAGCAGAGCCCTGACACTGCTGAGGAGAGGCTTCTGCAACCTAAACCCCAAACCCACCAGACCTGTTTCCCACCTGCCTGCAAGGCACTGGATATGCGCCATGCAGGGAACCAGTGTGGAGTGACAAGATCGACCATCAGAGATACCTCCCACTGGTACAGAGGGGTATGGACAGAGCAGCGAGTACAGTTGTGTGGTACAGAGATGGGCTAACTGTGCACTGTGGAGCTGAGAGCAACACTCTGTCAGGAAGCACAGATCAGATATCAGTGTAAGCAGTACCTTGCACTTCATGCAACAGCAGCTCTAGAAATGCTTCAGTTGTCATCTGGGGCGGGGTGCAGGCAGCTGCAGCACATTCTCTTCTACCTACAGACATCATCCTGTGCGCAGGCCCCAGGTTTCATCTGCCAAATGCTATGATCATAGCAACAGCAAGGCATCATCAAGATGTCCTGCTGCTGCCTGATGCCCATTACTGCAGCCAGGAGGCTGTAGCACATGCAACTCTGCAGTCATAAATGCCAGTGGAAAAGCAGCACGGTGGTAACACTTCCCCACAGCCTGTTCCAATAGAAGGTACATCCGTAAGACACCCACAATAAAGCGAGCCAAGGATTACTTGACACTGAAGGTTTGTTTTCATACTTCTATTACAGAAGAGAAGATTTTGCTGTCACGTATTTCTTAAAAGTTACTGCAGTGGCATAAAATACAAACTCACTGTGCATTTGTGTGACTTGCAGCCTTCTCAGAAACACAGCTACTTCCTTGGAAACAAGCATGGCAAAACCACTTCACCTCCTATCACTGATGAAGGCTGTGAATGGCACCAGTCAAGCTGTCCTTGGGCAGCTGCCGGCACTCACAAGGCTGTTTAAGCAGGAGGCCAGTGGACAACAGGCTGCTCTGTTGAGTGCATCTACAGTTTACATGTACCCTCATTTTCATAACTGTGCATCTTCACAGTGCCTCTTTTCAAAGCTTGACCTGCATGTGAGAAGAAGCAGTTATTTGCTTGGTGAACTGAAATTCTTGGTCTAACTGAATGGTGTACTTTCATTTGTTTAAGAAGGGTCTCTGATGCAGTTAGCAAAGCTGTCTTGCAATTCTGATACAGGGCCTAATACACATTTACCAAAATGAAGCACTTGAAGCAATTAAAGCAGCAACATAAGCAAAGCTTGTATTTGAACAGCACATTCTAATTTAGGTGTGTGGCAGAGGAAGAGTATCATCCCTTCTGACAGTCATACCTGTCCCACTTGCAGTCCCTACATACAGTTAAAAATATAGTTTCAGGAGTTCCTTCACTGTCTCCATCTGCTTGGTGTGCAAGACATTGAGGTAATAAACATAAAACAGTTTATGACTGTAAAGGATAGATTTGTGCCAACAGCTATACATTTAACATTCTGGTTTGCTTTATTTTGAAGCTGCCTAAGTAAAAGTAATGGTGTAGCCTCCTGGAAAACACCTAAACCCAGCTGTACATCACCTGTGGACAGTCGTCTGGGGGAGTGTTCTGGTTTCATCTGGCTCAGCAACAAGGCTGCTGCTGGTATGAAAAGCAAAACTCTATCAGATATGGGCTCTCAGAGACTGTCAGGAGAGCCTGCTCTTCATTCTCCATCAGAGGTCTCCCTCTACAGCACCTTTCCCATTTTAACAATACCTATTGCTAGTCTGATAGGTATGAAAGCACATGAAAGAGAAAGAAAACTGGTATCATGAAACTCAGGAACATCGTATGGGGGGAAAGAGGGCAGGAAGCATCAGGTATAAAATGTGAGGAGGGGAAAAGCCTTAGGAAGTAAACATCTCATAGAAAATGGGGAAGAGCAGTGGTGGGTTGGATGGGTATTTATGAAACAGTGTTGTCTCCAGCTCAGAAAGCGTGATTCTCTGAGCACTGACAGAGGATTATATCCCATCTATGTTATTCCTGCTCATCTATTTACTCCATCAGACAGGAAAATCTGCATTCAAAAAGCAGAAAAGCACAGAAACATGAGTATATACTTATGCCTTCTTAAAAGTCTTGTCTCACAAGCTTAATTAGGTTTATTCCCACCACAAAGTAAATTCCTTACTACTTCATTTTAGGTGATTTATTTTGTAGATGCAGCATTTCTGCAGTCTTTTACATAATCCCAATTGGATTGGCCAAGAAGGCCAATGGCATCCTGGGTTGTATTAGAAGGGGGGTGGTTAGTAGGTCGAGAGAGGTCTTCCTTCCCCTCTACTCTGCCCTGGTGAGACCTCATCTGGAATATTGTGTCCAGTTCTGGGCCCCTCAGTTTAAAAAGGACAGGGACCTGCTGGAGAGAGTCCAGCGCAGGGCAACTAAGATGATTAAGGGAAAGACTGAGGGAGCTGGGTCTCTATAGTTTGGAGAAGAGGAGATTGAGGGGTGACCTTATTAGTGTGTATAAATATATAAAGGGGGAGTGTCACGAGGATGGAGCCAGGCTCTTCTCAGTGGCAAACAATGAAAGGACAAGGGGTAATGGGTACAAATTGGAGCACAAGAGGTTCCACTTAAACCTGAGAAGAAACTTCTTCTCAGTGAGGGTGACGGAACACTGGAACAGGCTGCCCAGGGAGGTTGTGGAATCTCCTTCTTTGGAGACATTCAAGACCCGCCTGGACACGTTCCTGTGTAAGCTTATCTAGGTGTTCCTGCTCCGGCAGGGGGATTGGACTAGATGATCTTTTGAGGTCCCTTCCAATCTCTAACCTACTGTGATACTGTGATACCTATGATATACAAGTACATATGTTTTATATAGTATATTTATAGCTGATAAAACTGTTGAGAGCCTTGGAATTTATGAACCAGCTTTCACCCAAAAGTACATTAGAAGTGTAGTCAATAGGATAGCCAAAACTGGCTTAAAAAATTGCCAGTTACCAAAAATCCCTACTATCCCAAAGCAGGGTTTTTCCAAGTATCATCTATTTTGACTGAAATTGACGGAAATACAGCCCAAACCTTGGGCAATATAAAATTTAACATTTCTTTATTAGAAAGAGTGTGAGTTTATCAATACACTGTTACACCTCAGTGGCCCTGTACGATTCAGCAGTTCCCAAGATGCTCCTATTCTACTGCTCTGCAGATGTCTGTGGAACAGGAGGCAAAGATAAAAATTGGAAAAAAGGCCTGTTCTTGTAACTACAAACTTGGCATACTTGTAAATCATCTTAGCTTGATATTGAAATCCACTGAAAAGCAGGCACTGTATTTAATCAGCTTATGATTCAAGATTTGAGGGACTAGTGTATATAGGTCACATTATTACAGAAGTATCTCATAACCCAACAGTAACTCGAAGGAAGAACCGAGGAACACACAGCCTGAAGCACTAACCCAAGGACTGGCTCATGTGTTGCATTTTTATTTAGCAATTAGTTCATATTCCACTTGATTTGGCCTGACTAATGTATAGGATTCTTAATGCCAGTAAAGGTCTCTCTAATGGGGAAATCCTTACTGTGCTTTTTTCAAGGAGACATTTGGTTTATACCACCTCAGGAGATAAGCTTAACTAGTCAACAGAACAACCCAGTTGTGTGAGGGTTTTTAAAGTTCAAAAGACTTTCTGTTGCACTAACACATAAACACCACAAAATAAATGCACTGTGCTTCTGCAAGGAGATGTGTAATGACTTAGTACAGTATGCATATGTACACGAGTTTGTATGGTGTAAGTGATGACAAAATAGATCTTTTCACAAAAAGAAAGTCTGGGTTTGTGACAAAGCAGGGTGAAATAATAACCACAATATTTTAAAAAGCCAGTCTGGCAACGATAGTGAGAGAATAATTCTTATCTTACTTGGCAACTGCTGGGTAGTTCTGATGATTATTAAAAGTAATGGGAGAGGCCTCTTCAGAAGGAGACCTATTTTCTCTTCCAATTATTCTTTATAAAAACCTCAGCCTGCTGGCTAATGAATCTGAAAACACATGACATATTCAGAACAAACATCTCTCAAGCCTTTTACTCAGGGAGCATCTCTCAAGATTGAAAGGAGACCACTAGTCATGCTCTTTCAACCATCCACTAGCTAGGAAGTCATCAGTTCTGATGCAGTGATGACTCCAGTGACTGTCAGGCAAGCACCTGTGTGTTGTTATACACCAACCAGCTAAAATCACTTTGTAGGGGTCACTGAAGAGTCCTTGAATGGTAAAACCTGACAGTTTGAATGAACCCCTAACAGAGAAGCTTCCATTGTCTAGCACCTGTGCTGTTTGGTCCCCATTTACCAAAAATGTACGATACAAAACACATTTAAAAGAGAGAGGCTATCATGATTAAAGCTGGCCCAGAAAACAGTACTTGGAGCTGAGTATTTCAGCACTGAGAAATACAGTCACTGCTAAAAAATAGAAAGGAGCATGACTGAGAAATCTGTAGACCTTCTCAGGAGGCTCAATCCAGCCCAGAAGCATAATTCACGTAACACCGAAATTCATTGGCTAAATTTCGTGCATGTTTTGGAATAAACTTGCAAATCTTCACACCAAGATTCTTTTTGGCCTGTTCCTCCATGATTGCACCTGCAGCAAAAATAATTAGCAATTGATGAGAAAAACAGTAACAGAATATCTGGGTTTTTTTTTTATTAGCTCCTCCCAAATGCATATAAAGCAAGCCTGCTATTTTTAAGGAAGCAAAGCTTAAAGCAGCTCTACTGTCAGCCCTCTTTGACAACTGAATCTATTTGGAAATGAGAATAAATCTGAAAGAATGGAAGATGCCCCAAGGAAATGAATGTAAATGAAGTTTCATGAAAGTAGGTAGAGGGTAAGCTCTGTATAGAAAATAGAAGTGAACTCCATCTTCTTGCTACATGCCAAACAAATTGCATCGTAGGGAGGCATGGGAAAGGCAAACAGATTACATATACTCTTCCACTTAAATAAATGCAATTTACAGCTACACACTGAGAAATCACTTCCTTGAGCAGCATTTCTCAAACTCTGTAAACTTAAGGACCACCTACCCATTTTAGGGAAGAAACTGTGAGAACCATCCTTGTGCATGACTGCCATGTGCAATTAAGCAAAGAAGGTTTTCCATGACCACATTCTTCATTTCAGCTGCTTGGTTGACTTCCCTCACATTATATTTATAGAGGGGTTTTGTCCTTTTGTGTTTTTTGCAAATGTTTCCTGGATGTCTTCAGATGTCTTGTAGTAAGATTACAATTTAACCTTAAACCCCATGAGTAAAGCAGATACAGCAAATGCACCTCCATAAAGAAGGCCCTGCAAGTACAGCTGGTAAATTACCTAGTTTCACTGCTCTTATCACTCATTTTTAATTCCTCCTGCTGTACTTCAGTGCCCAGAATCTCCTTGCTTGACTCACAGTGGCAGAATATCCCTCACAAATTCATTCACATTACAACTCCTGTGTTTACCAGTACAGACAGGTAATGTGGAGTGGGGGCATGTTTACTTTGTTTTTCTTTTCAAGACTTTGCTCAAATCATCCCACTTTACTCAGCAAAGGCCATTCCAACCTCTTTGTCATTCTTTCTACTTAGCTCACCTTAGATGCTAAGTACTACGTGGCAGCTGAAGTCCTGCAGCTACTGACATGTTTAAAAACTCACAAATTCTTATTCAGTAAGACATTAACAGTAAGTTGCACCTATCTTTGTCATACCCAGATTATAGAGTGGCCTTTTACAAGAAAAAATACTTCTGGAAATCTAGAGGATGATCTTACAATTCTTCAAAGATTTAATAAAACTCAAAATGCTGTATGAAGAAAGCACTGACTTCAATTCTTAAAAAACACATACCTGCAGTTCAAAATAAAGGTTGAACTAAAGTATTCCAATGAAAAGCTTAGGATACATGTTTCTCTTTGAAGTAATGATAAATTAGTATTACTGAGTTAGTATTTTTCTCACTTAAGAAAGTTTCATCTTTTGAGGGGGAGGAAAAGATGCTTAATGGTGACCTAATATTTTTATTAACTATACCTGTGCAAAGCAGAATCTTTCCTTTTGTTAAATATTTGATGGTCTCTGCAGTTTTTTGAAGACATTCCTCAGACAGATAGGGTGGATCTGCTATAACAATGTCAAAACTGTGTGGCAGGAGATTTTCAGGTAAGTTCAAAGGGTGGTTGTAATCATAGAAGATAAATTCTTCTCCATATACAGAAAACCTTCTGTCATATTCCAGTATACAGACTGAAAAATCTTTACCATCCTGTTCTTTCAGTTTCTGGTATACACTGGGTGCACTAACACATGCTATCCTGAAAAAGAGACAACAACTGAGAATATTCATTTAAAAGGCAAACAGCAGCAAAAAAACCAAAACACCCTACAGCAGTCCTCAGGGCTGCTTTGGGAAAACATTTTAAATATTAGTCCCAGAATGTATGCTATTCATCCTCCATTCTAACAAATAATTACTTCAAAGTAGAGTTTTAAGCATTAAAGCCATTTATTCAGCCTCCATGCTGCATCACTTAGGCTTAACTACAGAGAAAATCTTGGTTCAGAACAGCAAGGAAATATACTTGAAAACTTAAACTCAACTCCTTACAGAAATAGGAAGAAAACCAAGTTTCTCCACCTGTTCTGCAGAAACATTGTATGAAAACAGAGAAAAGAATTACTAATCATCAACATGCTCTGGAGCTGTCTCAAAAAAGAAAAGATTCACAGTAAACTTGTACAAGGCAGAGCCTACAACATTCGATGAAATGCTAAAAGATAAGATCAGGATGAACTATTATTTACACAAATAATAGCAAAGCATTTGTGCAATATCTCAACTGAAGAAAGATAAAGTACAATGAGTAATGAATTACACTGCATGCTCTGCCTACAGGTTGGAAACAAAGTATTTACAGAAAAGACATGTTGAATCTCTGATGTAATTATTGAAACCTACCTGCCACCCTTCCCAGCTGCTACAACTGCTTCATCAGCCAGGCGTGATGCGGTTTCATCACTGTACCAAAACTGGCTCAGTTGCTGAGAAAGAGAACACACAATTACAAATAACATCAAATCTCTGGACTGTGCTATGTACTGTTAGGTGTGGTGAGTTGTATTTGAAGAAAAAATCCACAATAACTTCTCAGTTCACCAACTGTTAAGCTGGAAAAGTGAGTATTTTCCTGACAGTCTTTTTACCTCTGTAATGCAGGGACACGCAGCAGGTAGCTTACACAGTGTGTTTCCAAAGCATTTACTGTGGTATCAGGAAAACCAAGTAATGCAAGATCACTGATTATTGGGTTAGTTCAAACCCACTTTGCAGATGCACAGTATTTATGTGTTCTTAAATTTTTAGTGGAAGAGGAAAAAGGAACTTGAAAAGTGACAGTATAGAAAGAAATAAAGGGTAAAAGTACTGAATCAGAAGAGATCAGAAAAAGGAAGAGTAAAAAAAAAAAAACCCAAAGAAAACAGAGGCAAACCAAAAATCAGTCTGTCAGAAGAAAAAATAAAAGCGGCAAAGCAACCATCCACAAAAGCAAAGACATAAATCACAGAATGCAGTACAATGTGAAAGGAAAGATCACTTCATCTTGTTACTTGGTGCTTGTCTCAGACTCTGAGAAGAGTCTTTTCTACCTTCACATAGCAGGCTGGAGTTAAAATTTCCAGAAGGGATAGATGTTTCTGTTAGCAGCTTTATTCCCTTTCCATGTTGTACCCCTTTCCCCACCCCCACCCCATGTAGGACAGAGAAATATATCCAGATTTAACATTAAAGCAAATATCCCTAGAGTGTTGCTGTCCATGAACAGTTTGATTTTGCTACTCTAAGAACACTTTTTGAGTGCTCCCTTTTTAAATTTCATTTCATTATCCAGCCATAGAAAAGCTCAGTAAAGGTTACTCCTTCATGCACTGAAGTTCATAGTTTCTTACCCAGTCTTCTTCAATTGAGCCAATGGAATATTGATTAAACCCTTGGGAGGTCTTCATGCCCTCTCTCTGCTGCTGTTCCAAATAGAACTCCTGGAGGGCGGCCAATGTATGGGATGAAAGCTGGGGAATATCATCACCATCATCATCCATTTTTCTAGACTAGAGAAAATATTTAATTAAATTAACCCTTTTCAGTGGTGAACGTTTTTAATAACAGCACACTCCCCTGAGGTACAACGACCTTCGCTGACAATACAGACTCAGCCTAACAGCTACCTAGGAGAACCTCCGGACAAGAGAAAACATATTCTCTCTACTTATGAGATCTTAAACAAGTGAGAGGATGATTAGAAATAACACATCTCCAGAGAGAATTCAGGAACAGCAGCAATACTGTTCCCTTTCTATACAACACAGATTTGGCTTGTATTCTTGGAGGGAAGTTGTCATTGCAGTTCTTAATTTCCTGAATCTGGACACCTTGTCTGTATCGGGGGAAAACAAAAAAAAAAGGGTGAGGGGCAAAAACTCCAGTGGATTTGGCAAATCCTATAGAAACTGTTCCCTCCCATAAATAATGATACTGGTCATTCCTTTCCACTTTCAAAAGTCACACAATTCTGAACTCAAAAGGCAGAAACCTGGCTTTAACTTCCACGCCATAAAAAGATTTATCTGAATGCCAGAAACCTTCTTACAAGAAAAAGCAGGCAAGAAACTCAAGATGTTTTCCTTAGACAATGCTATTTGACTGAACTTGTGTATTTTGTGTGTGAGAACATGGGGATAACTCATATCAAAAAGACATGGTATTTACTACCATGAAAGTACAGCCGCATTGCACACACACTGCACACACAGAAGTACAGCAGAGAGACCTCTCGTGCTGGGTTACACCGCAAAGGGTCACTCCACCCTGCTCACCCGGGCTGCTAAGCAGCATCCGGGGGAAAGCTGTGGGTCGTTCCCAGAAGAGGCAGTGCCACCTCGTGGAGCGAAGGTGATGAAAACAGGAAACCTGCATGAGAAAACTACTAGAGAAAACTGGAAAAGATGCTTCTCTCAAGAAACCCATTTTCTCTGCTTCTGATCTAAGAACTAGTGCAATGACTTTAGCATGACTTTAACATGACAAACACTTTAACACGAGCAATGCCTTTAACAGAGCCTGGACGCAGGCAGCCGCCTGCCTTTGTGCAGAAGTCACCGGGAGAACCACATGCCATCTGAACTGTGTGCAACTTCAGAAGCCAACTACGATTTCGAGTACAGCTGCTCAGTTTTTCTCCTCCCATTCCCTGTATAAGAAGAACTCCAGAATCCACAACCTCCTCCCTTCCCACCCTTCCCTCTGTGCTGCTCACCCTAGCACAGCTGTCAAGACTTTTCCTGAAACACAGGTGCTCCCTACTTTTTGAAAAATGGTACCATCAACCTGTTAGATAACCCACCAGGATTCACTTATTACTGTGCTGTTCCACTGACACAGTACACATCTACATGTGCTAAGAGTAAAGCTCTTGGCTCTTCCAGAGTATCATTTATCTTCCATGAAGACAGGCTTAGGGAGTTGGGCTTGTTCATCCTGGAGAAGAGAAGGCTCCAGGGAGACATTAGTACCTAAAAGGGCCCACAAGAAAGCTGCAGGACTTCTGCAAAGACATGCACAAATAGGACAAAGGTAATGGCTTTAAACTGAAAGAAGGTAGGTTTATATTAGATATAAGGAAGAAATTCTTCACTATGACAGTGGTGAGGCACTGGCACAGGGTGCCCAGACAAGCTGTGGCTGCCCCATCCCTGGCAGTGTTCAAGGCCAAGTTGGATAGAGCCTTTGAGCAACCTGGTCAAGTGGAAAGTGTCCCTGCCTGTGGCAGGGGGGTCGGAACTGTATGAGCTTTAAGATCTCTTCCAACCCAAACCATTCGATGATTCTATGACTTGCTAGTCAACCTTAAGACAAGGAAGGTACTGTGCTCTGCTCAGGCTTCAGCTCCTGAATGCTTACATGGATGCAAATCCCTCATCTCCAGACGATTGGAATGGTGACCAAACTAACCCACACAGAGGTGTGGGGGAGTCTGTCCCAACCATAGTAAAAGCATAGACAGAGAAAGGATCTTTCCTACTGGAAACAATTTTTTAGATCTTTAAATCCTAAGAAGAGTTGATTGTCTGACAAGATAGTGGGAGTATTGACAAATGCACTTTCACAGGAATGACTGACAGGACAAGGTGTATGAAATATATTAGTCTAAAGTAATTTAGACACCTACATTAGTTTTGTAGAGTCTTCCAATGCAAATCAAAACTTCTCAAACATCCAAGATATCATCCTCAAGTACAGGCAGCATCAGCAGCTTGTTCCCTGGCAGTCAACTGGGAAAACCTAAACAAATTCAAGTTTTGAGGCCCAGGTGCCATAAACCATAATGGCCTCTGAGCACGATAGCCAAGCCAGGGGATGTCAGAAAAGCAGAACTGACAAACTTGCACACTAACCTGAAGCTGTTTTCTTATGTACTCATGATTTTGTGGAGTAGGGAAAGAGCAGGATTTGTGGACCAGGACCAGCTTACCTACCACAGATCTGAGAACAGCTCCATTTCAGGATTAAGTCTGGAGAACTTTCTGTTAACATCCATAGCAAATGGTTCAAGAAGAAAGCTTACTAGTTCAGAACAAGGGTTGATGCTGGTCCTTCTTCTACCCTGAAGCATTGATACGGCTTCCTACCCTGAATTATTTTCATTAGTATCGTACCCTGAAGGCAGCCAAAAGCTGCTGTCCCGAAAGGAATAAGACAAGGCAAGTATATGTGATACCTCCCCCCTCCATCCTCTACCAGGCTTTAACCATTTTCCACTATGGGAGTTGTTTCTGTACCTGAAGTGATTCTGTGAATGCACTTCTCTTAGAGACACCTGTCTGGTATCCCTTAAATTCACATGAGGTTTTTAAACCTAGAATGTCAGCGGGTAAGAAGTTTGGGTTTATGAACAGTTATCTTTTGTTGCTGTGAAAATGGCTACTAACTTCATGCAAATACTTTGTGTATCGGCAAACAAAAGGCTGAGCTCCTAGACACCCTCTCCACACCACTCTGTCATTTCACAGACACCTGTAGGTCAAGGTGTTGCTGAGCTACAAGGATCTCTTGTCAGTGATGAGATTTCACAGTGCTGCAAAGTGACACAGAAGTGTTTACAGACGAGAGACTTTCAGAGGATTAATGAATGCATAGAATTGCACTGGAATAAAAAAAGTAAGGTCTGGAGGCCAGTGGTTACTTGAAGGAGAAGAGGAGCATGATGTATTCTAGACCAACTCTCCTTTTCAATAAGCACGGGCAGAGAAGGAGAGTAAGCTGGACTCGACCGCTGTTACCCTCTGGCATATGAATGAGGGAACGCTGTCAGCTTATGAAAAATGCCCCTTCTTCCTGCTCCCTCTTGTGTTTAACTGCTTTGAACACCCACTGCCGGCACCTGCCGCTCGCGCTCTCCTGCTATGCAGGCCCCGCTCCGGGCCAGGCGCCCCCACCGCCTCCCACCCCAGCGCGGCTGGAGGAGAGCGCAGCGGGACGCAGCCGGTCGGCATGAGGCCCAACGCTGCTGAGGGATCCGCTCCCGCCCCCCGCCTCAACGGTCCCGCCGCAGCCGGCTACCCGGCCGCACACGCCACCCGCCCACGCTGACAGGGCGGGCAGGCGGGCTGACAGGCGGGCGGGCTGACGCGAGCCTGAGGAGCCCCCGCACTCCTGACACAGATCCCGCCTCTCTCCCCACTCACCGGCCGCCAGTCACCTCCGCGCACGCGGGCCTCTCCTAGCCAGGCCGGGCGCCGCGCGCCCCCTGCTGGTGACACGGGGCAGGAGGAGGCCGGCGGTTCCGGCGGTGGCTCCGCCTTTGCTGCAGGCGGGGCCGGGCAGGCGCGTTCCTAATCCGCGGTGCCGCCGGCCGCCGGTAATGGGGAGCTTGGGCAGAGGTGGGTTCGTGCGCGCCTGTCCCAACCGCAGCAGCTTCCCCGGTCCCTTGCGGCCTATGGCAGGTGTCCGCCTGCCCGGGCTTAGCCGCCGGAGCCTGTTGCCGGCGGGAACCCGTCGTTTCGCTGTGCCTTTCGCCACTGCGGTGGTTCGGGTGGTGTAAAGCGGCCCGCAGAAGGGTTTCCAGCGTAAATACGGGCTTCTTAAAGCAGGCCGTCTCCGCAGGGAGCAGCCGCCGCGCTCCCTCGGCCGTGTCGTGCCTCGGGGTTTGAAGTAGGTACTTCAGCAGATACAGAAACCGTGGGTAGGGTATACCTCCAGTCAGGCATCCATCGGTCGCCAGCTACGTTAAGACTTAGAAATCACGGATATATCTCTGGTTAGATGCCCAATGTTGCTGATTTCACTACCAGCCTGTTCTTACTGAGCTTTACCTTTGGGTGTACAACTGATCTCAGTTTCTCATCCTGTGCAGACACAACACACTTGTCTGGCATTTTGTATCATCTGTTGCTCCAAAACCTCAAGAACTTCCTCACTTTTTTCATTCCTCCTTTATAAAGGCTGGTAAAAAGCATTTTCATAACATCATCTTTTCATGGTTTGGTTACTCTTTTATAAACCAACTCATCAAAGGCTGCCCATTGAGTTATTTATAATTAAACAGCAGACTCCCCTCTCACGTTTTCCAGTTCCCTCAGCAGCAAGTTGAACAAGAAACTGCTATTTTCCCTGATACCGGGAAATAAAGGTTTAACATTGTGCGTGCGTGCTTAAGCAGTCGCTGTGCTCGGTGAAGCAGAACTGTAGGAGTCAAAGTTGCTAGAATGGTGAAGCAGGATTGTAGGAGTTACAGCTGCTAGGCAGGATTGTAGTAGATAAGATTCATAGCTTAATATTTAAGTCATTCTTGTTCAAATACTATCTTTAGAGAGAAAAGGAACAAAAGATAGCCAGAGTGACAAAATTTACGAACTTGACAAGTTTCTACTTTAACATACATAAAACCGGCTTGTACCAAACCTGAGGTTTGGACAGAAGCCGAAACCCGATTGAGTCTGGATGAAAGCAAGAGGTTACTCGCCCCGATGAAGAACTACAGGCCTTAATCTTCACGACCCCCTAACGACCACCACCAGGAGGCACTGCGCAGGCGCACCAATGGGACGAATCCCAGAAAACTAACTATAATTCTAGACGGGAATAGGTTTTGCATATGTATTAGGCGTGAAGTAATCTCATGCTTAGGTAATCATTATATGTAATATAAACGAACTGAATGGCAAAGGGGAGTGCGCATGCTTTTGGAGGGGCAACCCCCATGCGCCTCAGCATACCTACTTTACAGCTCGTTAAGAATTGTGGAGTCAATCCGTGTATCACCCCTACAACCTGATGAAACAGCTACAAACCTGTTGCAACACTTGCAAAGTCCTGGTTTCAGCACTAGCAGCCTACAGCCAGAGAGAACCATTTCCTTGAAAGGCAGAAACACAAAATTCTGGTAACACATT